ATTTTTAGTGTTTTTACTGTGATATTCTGTGGGGAGTTTCTTTTCTTGTCCTGTCTACTTGATATTCTATGGGCTTCTTGTATTTGTATGGGCATGTCTTTATTTAATCTTGGAAATTTTTCTTCCACCTTCCTGTTAATGATCTGGTCCATCCACCGAGTCTAGTCAGCCTATCTAGAGTCCCTTGTTTTAGGAAAATCACCTCTTGTTCACGTAGCATCAATCTTCCTAAAATAAGAGACTCTCGATAGGCTGACTAGACTCAGTGGACAGACTTGACTTGGGGAATGGCTGGGGACACTGACAACCCAGTGGGCCCTAACAAGGATGACAGAGTATATGGGCTCCAGTAGGGTGGGGGGAGGGTGCCAATGGGGATGGGAGTGTAAAGATGATTAAGATTGTTTAAGATGCTCTGTATGAAACACACAAAAACTTCAATAATTTTTTTTAAAATGAAAGAAAAAAAAGGTCTGGTCGGTACCATTATCCTGAGATTCTTCTTCTTCCTTTATGCCTATAATGTGTAATTTGGTCTTTTCATAGTGTCCCACATTTCCTGCATATTCAATTTGTGTGTTTTCTTAGATTTTTCACAGTCTTTGCTTGAGTGGTCCAATTCGTCAATTTTATCATCCAGTCTTGATATATGTTTTCCATTTCATTCATTCTATTGGTGAGGCTTTCTCCTGTTATTTGTAATTGTCTTCTTGAGTGTTTCACTTACTTCTTCATTTCAGCCTGAGTTTTCTTCAATATTTCTAACTCTTTCATTAATTCAGTCAGAAGTTAATCCCTATATTCTTTTAGGTCTTTGATTTTTTTGTGTGTGTTCTTTAAATTCATTGAATTCTTTGGTCTTGTTTATAATTGTTCTTTTGAATTCTGTATCCTGGGTTACGTAGGAGTTTCTCACTGTAGAACTCTTCTATAGGACTCTTAGTCCTTGGTGGGGACACATTATTTGGGTTTTTCATATTATTATTTTTGCATTGTGACTTTGACTTGTAGATTTCTGTTTCTGATTCTGGTGTGAGACTCAAGCCTTCCTTTGTTGCATTTAAGTCTTTTTCTGTTTGTATACTTGATGTGCCTTTGTTATTTTCTTATTGGATATGAAAAGCTGGTTGATCTAGGCTTCATATTCTCTCCTGATTTTATATTAGAAAGGCCAGATAGCTCTAGTCCAGCTACTCAGGAGTTCCTACAGAGGGCCATGTAGAATGAGGATCAGATGCTCTCAGGCTTCCTCCTAAGGTCAGGGCTCCTCTAGTCAGCAGGAAGAATACAATTTGGGAAGTCTGCAAGGTGGAGTTTGGATTCAGGCAATCTCAGGCAGTCTTTAAATGTCTGTGTCCCTACTAGAGGGAAGAGAAGCCTAATGCTGCAACAGTGGGAGGGGTTGTAGGTGGTCCTAATGTAGGGGGATGGACTCAGTGCCTCACAGAGTTAAGAGATATGGGTTGCTAAAAGTAGAAGTAATCCTGTTCCCAAGGCTGAACAATGTGGGGGATGGGCGATTGAATTTTCTCAGGTTATGGTAGTCAAGGTGCAGTGGGCAGGGTTAGACTTACCAGGGAATAAGGCTGGTCACAGGAGTTGCAGGCTGGTTGGGGTGGGAACAGCAGGGGTAGGAGGCTTTTTTCAGGAGTCCAAAGGCAGTTTGTGGGTGGGGACAGCATATGGAGGCACTGAGAAACTAGACTGAAGGACTGAACTGGTCTGGGTGCAGAGGATCAGGATGCAGTGGGTGAATATGGACTGAGAGTGTGGTTCAGCAATCTGGGTTGCTAAGAGCAGAAACTGGTCCGTTCCCAAGGCTAGAAGGAGAGTTGCATGGTATCATTTAATTCAGGTATTTCTCTGTTTATAATTTGTCTGCCTGACTTGCCTACTGGAGAGAGCAGGGTATTGAAGTCCCCTACTATTACTGAGTTGGTGTTAATGTGTGTCTTAAAATCCTATAGTACATTTTTTATGAAATTGGTTGCACCAGAGTTCGATGCATCTATGTTCATGACTGTAAAATCTTCTTGTTCAGTTGTTCCTTTGATCAGAATGAAGTAACCCAATTTATCTTTTCTGATTAGTTTTAGTTTGAAATGTATTTTATCCAACGTTAGAATTGCCACCCATGCTTGTTTCACAGCTATCTTGAGGGGGTTTTCATTGTACTCTTCTATAGGATTGGTGGTGTTTGGTGGGAATATATCATTTTGGTTTTTCATATTATTTTTCTGCTGTGGTTTTAGCATGTGGATTTCTTTTGTTACTTGTGATTCTGGTATGAAACTCAAGCTTTTCTTTTTTGCTTTGAAGTCTGATTCTGTAATCTGTTTGTATCATTGATGTACCTTGGTTGTGTTCTGATGGTGTATGAAAAGCTTGTTGGTCTAGGCTTCAGGTTCTCTCTTTTGATTTTATATTGGAAGGACCAGATGTTTCCAGTCAGGCCACTGAGAAGTTCTCCAGGAGGGTAAAGCGGTCCTAGCTAGGTGGGAGCCCTTCAGAGGCCTCAGATAAATAGTGCCAAGGTCCAAGGAGAGGACACTGGAGATATATGTGCGATTCCCTATTATTCAAAAGTAAAGCATTAGCTCTGGACTGCAGCTGGTGCCAAAGAAAGGAATGGGCATGGCACGATTTGGGAAGCTCACCCCATCAGATGCTCCCAGGCACTCTCCAAAGGTCTGGGCCCTTACTAGCCACCAGGGAAGCCTCATGTATGGGTATTTAGAGTCTCCATTGTATAGTCTCCTCCTCTTAGCTTCCCTGCCCAAACCACCACCACCACTATCACCAATAAGGTGTTCAAAGCTATAATAAAATTGTAGGTGTCTACTCATAGAAGAAGAATAAGCATGCTGCTCTAGCAAAGGTCCTAAATTCTAGTCAGAAATTTTCTTGAACAGGAAATTCTGTGACAGTGGACCCCAAAACCAACTGGAAAAGACATTACTCTGAAAATTTCCTGATATTTCTGAGAGACACCAAATCTAAATGATCCTTATAGATGAATATTGAATTTTGATTCATTCTGTTTTCACTCAACAGCTTCTTCACCTGATAAAGACACTACCATTACTTTCATTAAAACCTTTCATTTTATGGAATTCATATGAGAGAAAAAACCAACTGACAGGAGGAATCAAGGAGGATGGAAAGTTTAAAGCACTCTGAGTTATAAATCAAAAGGAATCAGTTTTAGCCTAATGTATAATAGATACCTGTCATATTTTGTTAATAGATGAAATAAAAATTATAGTCAAAAATGTAATGTATAAAGCAAATGTATAAACAAATGTATGAGAGCAAAATATTTCAGGACCAAGATACCACACAAGATGAATACCAACTTGATGAATTTAATTTCATTAATTATTATTGAACAGGAATTGTACTATATTTCTTCTCAACAGCAATTACAAAGTAAAACTAAATACAGCAATAATTATACAGTCAACAGTAGTCACCACACCCCAAAAGTAATCCTCAGACTATCTATATTCTCATCAATTAGGATTTGTTAGAAATACAACTCCATTGGGTCATCCTAAAACACTGACAATCATTGTGAATTTAACTAAGTTTCTACCCTTGGAGTGGTTCATAGACTGAGTAAAGTGCATGAATCATATCATTACTCACTCTAATTCACTCTTAATAATCTCATCACCACACCAGGAATTAGTTTAGAAAGGAGTATAGGTCCCAGTACATTAAGAAAAACTCAGCAATAGCAATAAATTCAGGAAGTTACATGCATGGCGTTATCCATTAGTTTTGGGGTAGTCTGCCTCTAAGAAAATGTGTATTTATCTTATTTGCTTTTTTTATATCATAACACCATCAGTTACCTGTCCCAAATACTATATCTAGACTCTTTGGACAGATTCTACTTATATGGAAACAGTACAATAAATTAAGCTAAAAAAATCCAAGTGGTATTTAAAATTCTGTCCAAACCAGGCAAGACCAATGCCATTTTCATGCAAAAACTTAATAACCTTTAGACATTATGGCATGAAGAATTCATGGTAGAGTGGCTACTACTTGACTCACAGTGTATTGTTCTCTGAATCATTTCAGAAGGCCAAGTTCAAAGCTGTAATAAACTACCAAGAAAATAGCTGTTTTGGAGACTTACCATATGCCACAACTGGTGAAAATTCAGAGAATAAGTGACTATGAGATTCCAATCCCCAAATGATACATCTACAATGCAACCCCTACACCCAAGATTCAGAAACATCTCAGAAGAGGAGACAAAAAGATTGCAAGAGCTGAAGGACCAGGATGTCTGCTGCTAAATAGTATATTCTTGACATGATAGGAAAGCTGTACACATGAAATCCCAACAATAACGTTCTTTAAACAAGACCTGCATTATGGAAACACTAGTTGACATGTCAGTGTATATGGAGTAAATTTTGCAAGGTCCCATCTCTATATGGATAACTATTGGCAGTCAAAGGCTGCTGAGGGAGGGAGAATCAGTTTTCTCTAAAGATGAGGTCCTTGATGGCTTATCTAATCCCAAGTTATTAGACCCAAGCACATTTACAAACAAGCACCACTAAATAGACTCAGTGGAATATATATGCAAACGTATATATGAATATGTAATAAAAATAATCAAAGAAGACCTCACAAAATTGACAAAGAGTAGGAGAGACATGAGAAGAGTTGGAGGGGGGTGAGAAAGGAGTGGAAATGTTGTAAATATAGTACTCATGAAATTCTCAAAATACACTTTATAAAAAAGCAGAAGTTGGAGCTGGAGAGATGGCTCAGCAGTTAAGAACACTCTTCTTGCAGAAGACCCAGGTTTGAATGCCAGCACCCACATGGCAGTTAACAACTGTCCATAACTCCAGTTCTACAGTATCCAACAGCCTTTTCTGTCCTTTACTGGCATTTCACAACACAGGTGCACATGCAGGCAATACATGCATACACATAAAATAAAAATAATCATTTTTTTTGAAAAAAGCAGAAGTTTAGATGAGTTTCCTCAAGGCTTCCTTCATGTCTCTGTTCCTCAGGCTGTAGATAAATGGGTTCAACATTGGAGGAACCACAGTATACATCAGTGATGCTACAGAAGTCTTCCAGTATGACTTGGTAACTGCAGAACTAATATACACCCCAAATGCTGTCCCATAGAACAAAGAAACAACTGAAAGATGACTCCCACAAGTGGAGAAAGCTTTGTACCTACCTCCGGCTGATTTTCTTCTCAGAATGGAAGACATAATTTTAAAGTAAGAAAAAATAATCCCCAGTAGAGGCACACCACCCAATGTGCTAGTCACCACATATACCAGGATATTATTGATGAGGGTATCAGAACAGGCAAGCTTAATGACCTGATCAAGTTCACAGAAAAAGTGGGGAATTTCAAAATCTGTGCAAAAAGATAGTCTCAAAATCATTAAACCATGCAGAAGAGCATCCATAATGCTAATGCACAGGGAGACTAAGACCATCAGAAGACAGAAGTGGGGCTTCATGATGATTGTGTAGTGAAGGGGATTGCAGATAGCTACATACCGGTCGTAAGCCATTGCAGCAAGAAGAAAATTTTCCATTCCAGCAAAAAGCAGGACAAAACTGAGCTGAATAAGACAGCCTGTGAAACTGATGGCTTTGCTCTGTCTCTGAAGGTTTCCTAGTATCTTGGGGACAGTGACAGTGCTGAAACAGATGTCAGTGAAGGACAGATTGGAGAGGAAGAGGTACATGGGCGTGTGGAGGTGGGAGTCAGTGCTGATGGCTAGGATGATGAGCAGGTTTCCAAGCACGGTGACTAGATATGTGAACAGGAACAGTCCAAAGAGGACAGGCTCAAGTTCTGGATCCTCTGAGAATCCCAAGAGAAAGAATACTATTGTGTTTGTTTGGTTTTCTAATTCTGTAAGTTTTTGGAGTCTGATGGGAAAAATACAAGTGTTATTCAAAAAGCAAATATGCAACCTGTCTCCCTCTTCCTCTCCAGCCCCTTTCCCTTTTCTTCTCCATCTACCTCTCTTTTTCTCACTCCCTACCTTTCCTCTTCCTCGCCTTTCCTTCTACTGGTTTTATTTCTCTTCCATTTTATTAAATTATTCATTGTCCAAATTTTATTCAGCAACAGACACTTATCAGCTCACATTACAGAATCAAATAAGAATAAACTAGAAAATTATGCATGTTTTTCTACTAGAAACACTCAAATCCTCAAACCAGATGTATAAAAACCTTAAATCTATGTAAAATATAGCATTAATTGATATTTTAATTTTAGCATGAGTTCTGGCTTCCAGTGTCTGGTTCATAAAAAGAAATTAATTTTCAGTTCTTAGACATCTCCATCTTTTTAGAGGTTTATTTTTAATTATTTATATGTGTTTTGTCTGTGTATGTACACCAGTGTGCAGATGCCTGTGGAATCCCTGGGAGTTTGATTTCCTGGAACTGGAATTATAAGTGATTGTGAGCCACCTGATTTAGGTGCTGGGAAATGAGTTTAGGACCTCTAAAAGAGCAGCAGGTGCTTCTAACCACTCACCCATCTCTTCAGCCTCTCCACTATAAAATCTTAAAATATTCTTGCAAGGATGAGAATGAGAAAACAAAATAAAAATCCTTTATAATACACTCATTAGTTTATCTACTGTAATTTGTTTATGCCATAGACATGATCAGACTATATCGCAAAAAACACTATACAAGCAAAATAATGGTTGTGGAAAATAGGAGAGATTAAAGATTAACAATCTTTAGAACAATAACATCCAATTTCATGAAAGAATAATGTAGTAAAATTACCAGAGTATATTGCATATAGAGGGAAGCAGGAAAAGTATATAATTCAATAAATAATGGCATTAATATTTTCTCATGTATATATCATAATATTCAATAATAAAGAAAATCATGGCTGCTGTAACAATATAAATAGTAGTTCTAAACCCATAAGTAATTTAATAGGAACCTATAGCATTCTAGTTTCTTAAAACATCATAGGTAGCAGAAATATAATCTTATAATTATTTCAAGTATTTAAAAAGAATGTTGAAAGTCATAAAATGATCATCACTAAAAATTAAATTAAAATATATTAACAAATAAACATTAAGTGTTATTAAAGTGATACACATTTACTTCCCCAATGAATGTGTGAATTATTTATTGTTCCTCCTCACAGAAATGCAGAAACTGATATTCATTATTCTCCTAAGGTTTTAACTCATTTAATATTTTTATCTGTAAGTGATCTATTGATTTTCTTTTTTAAAATTTATTATTAGGCTGGAGAGATGGCTCAGTGGTTAAGAGCACTGACTGCTCTTGCAGAGTACCTGGGTTCGATTCCTAGCACCCACATGGTGGCTACGAACCATCTTTAACTCCAGTTCCAGGGGAATCTGAATCCCTTTTCTGACCTCTGCAGCATTGCACGACATGAGTGCACTCACATACATGCAGGCAATACACTCATACACATAAAATAAAAATAATAAATAAAATATTTAAAATTTATTGTTATCCATGGTTATTCTTTACTGGGTTTTTTTTTTAGTACTGTAAATTACATCTTGGTCTTGGTGCATTAACACCATTAATATTAGGTCGATTTATCTCAATGCTTGGTGACAAAATAAAGCAAAATTTCTTCAATGCTAGTACATTTTATAGTGGTACGTACATATATGCACAAAGATAACTGTTAATTTCATATAATGAGTTAAAATAACATATAAAAATAGTTATAGTGTAGACTAAATTTACTTATGTATAGTGTGAGAGAATGGAATGGAAAATAAAGGGTTTATAAAATTAATGAATTTGATGTCTTATAAGAAGTGATCTGGTAGAAAAAGTATTAGTGTCATACATATGCATGTGTTTGTTTTATCATTATTCAGAGTTATTCTGTCTGTTAAGGGTTAAATATTTATAAAATATAGATAAAAAGTTATACTACTGTGTGTTCTTATATTTTTCCTTTTCCTTGATCTCTCTCTCTCTCTCTCAAAATAATTACAAGAGAGAGCAGTGTCAGCCAAAGAGTTTCTCTAAAATGGAGTGTTTGGTGTCAGAAACTGAAAAAAAATAATAAAGCACTCATTGTATAACTGTGCCTTTGCCAAATAAATTAAAATTTATATAATGTTAGAAGGTTCTTCATAACAGCAAGAGTATAGTATACTCAACACCATTGAGTATGAGATTTAGATTGAGTATAAGAAGTTACCAGAATTAAAGCTCCTCAAATATTAGTGTATAAGTAGAGGTGACATGAGAAGATGATTGAGAATTATGCATATACCTAACAAGTTACTTGGCTTTTTATCTCCTCATGTCCTTATCCCAAAAACTCCCAAAAGGAATTGATAGAAAAAGTCCTGTCTCTAGTGATGAATATAACCAAAAGAGATTTAAGATTACCTGGAGTTCATGACTGAAGAATGATATTTAGTTCTCTGAGAATGTGAAGGTGAAATGTAGAAGCGCTGTTCTGAGGAAAATAGAGATCCAGAAAAGCACAATGCCCCAGTGCAGTAATGATAGGCCCTGAGAAAAGGGTCGGGAGTGCTTTCTTCTACCTATTCAAGACTAATAAAATGAGGGTCACCAGGAGACTATGTGCCATATCTATGACCCTTGGGGTTTAATATCCAAAGTTCCTCATTAGTCAGACACTTCCATTCCCGTGTGATTACAGGGCAGCAAAAACATTTAAGGACAAGGCTGAAAGGTGGAAACAACTGCTTTGGTGAATTCTCCCCACACAAAGACCAAGTATATTCATTCTTCCTCCTATTTATTTTTTAAAAAATATTTTATTGAGCATTTGTAATTTCATACAACAGTTCTTAATCAAATTTAGATGTCCTCTACTATCCAAGCCTCTCCTGTCCCCCCGCAGGACCTCATGTATTCTGCTTCTACTTATTTTTGACTCACATCCAATTCAGTTACTTTGCAAACATCAACACATTTTCCTTCTCTAATTGAATTTTAGTCTGTATTAGTTATACCTCTTTATACCTATTTTTAACTGAATTTTTTGCAAATGTCATGCAATACAGCTTGTTTAGACTTCCTTCACAAGGAAATAAGAGTTTTCCAGGTGGCTGGAAAGTTGTTCATATGAACTTACAGCAATGGTGGCAGCATGGACAAAACAATGCAAGCCCAACCCAGGCTAAAATCTAGCACAGAAATGGGGACATGGATAAGAAGCCCCAGTCTTAGCTGAGGAACTCTTGGCAACTGAATACTACTGGTAGAGGGAAAGTTGGTTTTCCTTAAGGGCGTAATTCTAAATAGGTTGACTAGGCTCCACTGTATCAGTCATATTTTATTAACAATCTAAGAAATATGGAAATTATAATTAGGATTTTAGTCATGTTACAGTGAAGTCTTTGATATGTTATTTTTCTTCAGTGTGAGAGATAAGGATCTAATTTAATTCTTCTAGATGTAAATGTCCAGTCTTCCTGCACTGTCTGTTGAATAAGTTGTCATTTTCTAATATATTTTTGAGACCATTGTCAGAAATTCACTTTACCTATATGGCTTCATTTAATAAGGTCTCAACTGTGCTCCATATGTTTGCTTTTCATTCCGGTATTATGCTCTTTGTCAATATGACTTTACACTCTAATTTGAGGTCATGTGTTATGATACGTCCAGTAGTATTCTTTCTGCATAGAACACTTGATTGTTCTGTGTCTTTGTTTTAATATGAATTTTGAGATTGTTTAATTTTCAGTTTAGTCCTGTCTTACTTGATTCACCACATAAATAGCTAATTATTTTATTGCTGAGTACCATTCCATTATTTGAATGTTCCATAATATTCTTGCTAATTCACCTCTTGATAGGTGGATTTTTTAAGAATTCAGTTATAGCTAGTAAACCTACTATGAATATTTAAGTATGTATATTTTATGAAATCGTGGTTTCCTTTTCTAGGGTAAATATAAAGAATGAAAAATTATTACCTTGATATAAGAATAACTGATAAAAAAAACTGCCAGTGTACCTTCAAAACGATTGCCCCCTTTAGTATTCCTAACACCATCATATGAAAATTCCAGTTTCTCCATATTTGTGTTGATGTTCACCATGACATTTTAATGTATGTATATAAGGCACTGTTGTCATTTTAAAAAATTTATCCTTCTGTTTTTCAAACTTATCACCCATCCTTACTAAAAGTACACATAGTTAAGGTTAAATTTTAATCTGCATTTTCCTAATAACTAATGAGATTGAGCATCTTCTCATGTGCTTATTCACTTTAAGTATACCTTCTGTTAAGTCTCCAAATATTACCATTTTTTATATTTTATGTATTATTTTTATTTTATGTGTTTGTGTATTGCCTGCATGTATGTGAGTGCACACGTGTCGTGCAAAGTTGTGGAGGTCAGAAGAGGGCTTTGGATTCCCCTGAAACTGGAATTAAAGAGGGTTTGTAGCCTCCATGTGGGTGCTTGGAATCAAACCCAGGTCCTCTGCAAGAGCAGTCAGTGCTCTTAACCACTGAGCCATCCTTCCAGCCCCTTTTTACCATTTTTAATTAATTTATTTATACATGTTTATACAGGAAAGCATTTTAAATCTTTTGTAACTTTTAATAAATGTTGAGAATTATCATCTTCAAGTTTATCAACAACATGAAAAATTGTCACAGTTGGGGCTGAAGAGATGGCTCAGTGATTAAGAGCAGTGGCTACTCTACCAGAGAACCCAGGTTTGATTCCAAGCACCCACATGGTAGCTAACAACCATCCATAACTAATTTCAAGGGAACCAGTTCTGTCTTCTGCCCTCCAGCAGGCACTGCACAACACAGGTGCACCTACTTACATACAGGCAATACACTCATACACATAAAATAAAAATAGTAAATAAGTTACTTTTTAAAAACTGTCTTGGTTTAAAGTTAGAACATAGTTTATAAACATGCATATAGCCTGGCATGGTGGCACACACCTTTAGCCCCAGAAGTTGGGAGGCAGAGGCAGGTGGGTCTCTGTGCAGTTGGGGCCTTCCTAATCTACATAATGAGTTCCAGGTCAGCTATGGATACAGAGAGACCATGTTTCAGAAAACCAGAAAACAAAAAGAAATACCCACATTATAAGTAATTTATAGGAAGAAGTTGAAAGAAAATTCTTAAAAGGTGCTATGTGTTAAAGGTAGAGAAATTTAATAGGGACCATTTAGGGAATCCTTCCATGCTTTTTAGTATACCCTTTTTTACTTTATTTAATGTGTTCACTCTCCAAAGGAATTATAGCAGAAAACCAAAACAATGTTTGAAATATTGATAATAAGGAGGCCAAATCTAGTTAAAGAATGAGAGCAGCAGCAACAACAAAACTTAAAAAGAAAAATCTAAGTTATTTTAATTTATGAAGTATCTAAAGACAAATCTCAATTTGATCAATGTAACTCTAAGGTAGGCAAAGAGTTAACGACTGGAAAATCTCTACAAGAACTTTTGGAGTTCAGGTAGCTGATTTAGAGTCACTTTCTAGCTTCTGTTTATTGTACTGGCACACAAAAACAAGCAATTTGAACTCTATTACCAACAATGACCTCTTTGTGATGAAGAAAGTGAAGTAACAAAAATCAATAGATGATAGATGATAGATAGAGGATAAATAGATAGGTAGATAAGTAAATAATGTAACTGATATACAGAGACACAAAAACTTCTCAATAAAATACTTGATTGAGTCAGCATGGGTCTTGTGCATGTTCTCACAAGACCCATGCTGACTCAATCAGACAAAAACTCAGCATAGAACTGAGGAAATGAACAGAAGACCCCAACCTTGGCCAAGGAACTATTGGCAATGAGTTACTGAAGGATAAGGGAGAGTTAATCTTCCTTAAAGAGGTGGCTCTAGATAGGCTGACTAGACTCCAATGGATGAACTTGTACCAAGGGACATCTAGATATAAATGCTTGACCAGATAGGACTTAACATATATGGTAAAAATTCATGAAATCCTGTGGGGAGAATATGAGAGCATATGGATGGGGAAGAGGGTCTAAATCTGATTAAGATCTATAATATGAAATGCACAAAAACTCAGTAAAAATATACAAAAACTTAATTTAAAAAGAAAATACTTGAAAACCACAATCAAGAACACATCAATATGATTATCCACTATAGTGAAGTTGGCTTCATTTCAGAAATGTGGGAATGGTTCAACATATGCAAATAAATGACTATAACTTATCACATAAATGACCTCAAGTTCAGAAACCAGCCCAATAGAGACAGAAAAGACCTCTGATAAAAACCATACATCCTGTCATGATAAGAACCATATCAAGATTGGGAATACAAGGAATGTAATGTAATAAAAGTTTATGTATGAAAAATACACAGTCAAAATCATACTAAATGGAAAAATGTGAAAAATTTCCACTAAAATCAGAAATAAGGGTTGCTTCATTCTTCATCCTTATTCTATATGGTACTTGAGATGTTACTGAGAGAAATTGGACAAAATAAGGATAAAAGAGATATAAATAGGAAAGGAACAAGTCAAAGAATCCTTATTTGAGGATGAAATAATTCTATACATTAAAGACCCTAAAAAGTCACTCAGATTGAATCTTTCTTTTTTGAGGTTACATAATTCATAATGATGATTTCAAGCTCAATCCATTTACCCACAAATTTACTGACTTTATTTTCTTTCCATCTAAAGAATAACCTATTATGTATATGTACCATATTTTCACTAACAATTTATCACTTTATGAACAATTATCCTCTTTCTATGTATCACCTATTTTGAAGAGTGAAGCAATGAATATTAATAAGCAAGAGTCTCTGTATTAGGATATAGAGTATTTTGGGAAGGAGATCTGGTTTGATAATCCCCCCTCTCCCCCCCAGCATTGCTCAGGATTACTTTGGCTATCTGGGATCTTTTGTGTTTCCAAAGGAACTTTAAGGTTTTTTTTCTAATTATGTGAAGAGTCTTATTGGGATTTTTCTTTTTTGGGGGGGGTGGGAGTTTTAAGATTCACTCCAAACACATATAATAATCTTCACTGACATTGTTGATTACTCCTGGACAGATGTCCTCAGTTAGTAAAAGAAAATTCCAGATGCAAATGATCCAAAAGGGGGAATGTCACCTACCCCAAGGCCACAGGCAGACAAATGGGATCTAAGTCTCAGGGTGAGACTAGGAGGCAGAAGTATGAAAGGCAGGTGGTGTCTGTCAGATACCAGGTCCCTGGTAGGGAGTTGGTTCAGAACACTGGGAGACCGTGAGTTGGTGCTGCAGGCTTGCTGAGGGGATAGCTTAATTTATGTCTTTTGGAAGAAACTCATGCCTACCTCAGCCCTTGTCACCAAAGTTTCAGACTTGACAGATAATCTGTATCTGTGCTCCATGGTGGCAGTGATGTTCACATCTGTGTGGGATAGGGTCGTATTGGATATTACAGCCTGTCACAAAGAGATCATCCAGTTCGACCTGATGTCTCCAGAGGTCTATATAGATGACACAGTCCAGGCAGATATTTATTAAAACACCGACATTGTCAGTGCACCCACAGGCCACACTCTTGTATCTCAGGTCCACAGTGGTTACCTGGCCCTGGAGGCTCTGCAACAGGAAGATGCGGTTATTTCCTGAGATGATCCATTCCTTCAAGGAGTGCTGCAGTGCCAACCCTCCGTATCAGTTGGCTGCTCATGAATGATGCCTTCCTCCTTCCACTCTCACACCGCCACCATCTATTCAGGATTTTTCTTGAAACTGCATTGAATCTATAAATTGTTTTTTTTTGTAGGATGATCATTTTCACAATATTACTTCTACCAATCCATAAGCATGGGAGGTATTTCCATCTCATTGTGTATTTCTCATTTCTTTTTCAAAGTTTTAAAGTTTTTATTGATTACATCTTTAATGTCTTTGCTTAGGCTTATTACTCTCTCTCTCTATATATATATTATATATATATAGTCTATTCTTTTAAAATATTTTTATTGAGTTGTGCATTTTACATAATAAACTTTAATCAAATTTAGGCCCTCTTCCCTAATCCATGTTCCCCATAGGCTGGCTCAATGGATTTCATGCATTCTGTCATTTATGTGAAGGCCTATCCAGTCAAGCATGTGTGCTCAGATGTCTCTCCTTGCAAATTCACCCACTGGAGTCAGGTCAGCCTATCTAGAGTCCCTCTCTTAAAAAAGATCTACTCTCTCTCACCCAGCAGTAATAAGTTGCCCATAGTTCCTCAGCTAGAGTTGGGCTTGAGGCCCATTTCCCCAGTTCTATGCTGGGTTTTTATCTGATTGAGTCAGTATGGCTCTTGTGCATGTCTTTCATCATTGTTGCAAATTTATACGAACAAGTTCCTAGAGCCTGAAAGCCTCCGTTTCCTTATGTTTATGTACCAACCCTGGATTTTACAATCTTTCTATCCTCTCTTCTGCAATGATCCCTGAGCCATGAGGGGGTGAGGTTTACTATAGAAGTCCTATCCAGGGACACACACTCTGCAGTCTCTTGTTATCTAAAACTTGGCTAGCTGTGGCCTTCTGTGTGCAACACACTCTGTTGTGTGAGGAAGCTTCACTGGTGAGAGTTGAGGAATGTAGTAGTATTTTCTCTAACCCTGTTCCACCATGTTCCATGAGTCTTAAGTGTCGAGGTTCCACTATAGATATGTCACTTAGGACTGGGTATTCTAAATGGGAGTATTTACATGAACTCTATGGTTATTTGTTACTGATACATAGAAAGGCTACTAATTTTTGTTGATTGATTTTGTGATCTGATACTTTGCTGAAAGTGTTGATCATTTCTAGTTTTCTGGTGGAATTTTTGGGATACCTTTTGTAAAATATCATATCATCTTCAAATAAAGAAAATTTGACCTTTTCCAACTAGTATCCCTTTAATTTCCTTCTCTCCTATTGCTCTAGCAAGAGTTTCAAGCACTATAATGAAAAGGAGTGGAGACAGTGGACAGCCTTGTCTAGTTCTCTTTTAAGTATTTGTTTATTATTTTTATTTTATGTTGTCTCCCAATTGGCTAGTTCCTCCAGCTGGTGGGGCCCTGCCACTGAGCTCAGACTACTGAGGTGTGGCTGGGAGCCATCGTGGGACTGAAGTTGTGAGTCAGGAGGAATACAATTGGCTGGTATGGAGAGAGAGATGGCCAACTGCCTCACGCACATGGATGCTAGGGGGCATTGACCAACCTGGGACTAGACTGCGAGCCCAACATGTGTGACCAAAAGTTAATGGAGACTATGGTCGGGGCTGGCTCTAAGCCTCTGTACAAGAGTGCTTGTCTCTGTGTATGTTCCCCAATTTACCCCTCCCTACCAGAGGGTATAAACCATAATAAACTCACATAAAAATATATTATATGGTGTGTCTGATCACGGAGGAGACCTGGAGGGAATTCAGGCAACATGTGTGTATGAGTTTATTGCCTGCATGTATGTAAGAGCACCCTTGTTGTGCAATATGCATGGAGCTCAGAGGATGGCTTCGAATCCCTTGGAACTGGAGCTACAAATGGTTATTATCTGCCATGTGAGTGCTGAGGATTGACCTCAGGTCCTCTGCAAGAGCAGCCAGTGCTTTAAACACTGAGCAATCTCTCCAACCCTATTGTCTGGTTCTTGATATTAATTGGAATGTGTTAAATTTTTCTCCATTAAAGACATGGCACACATGCACTTATGTACATCCATGCAATATACTTATACACATAAAACAAAAATAATAAAATATGTAAGAAAAAATTTTCTCCTTATGTATATTAATCTTTCGCTAGTTCTCTGGAATAAAGTCAATTTGATCTTTTTTATGTGTGTCTTGTTTTGTTTGTGAGTATTTAATGAGAATTCTTGCATTTATAATCAATATGGATATGGGCCTATAGTTTTCTTTATTGTGTCTTTACCTGGTTTGGGTACTAGAGAAATTCTGCTTCATATAAGAAGATTGGGAGTGCTCCCTTTGTTTCTATCCTTTAGCATAATTCAAGTAATATTGGTTGTAGATCTTCTTTGAATGTTTGGTAATATTCTGCTATAAATCAGTCTGCACGTGGACAGTTTCTGGTTCCTTATTTGTATGGATCTTTTTAAAACTGATGAGTTTTTCTTGGATTAACATTGGCAGATCCATTGAATCTAGAGAATAGTCCACATATTCATATTTTCAAATTTAATTGAGTACGGTTTTTAAAGTGTTCTATTATAATGTTGTAGATCTTTTGTTATCTGTTGTTTCTCCTGTGGGCTCTGATTTTGTTGAATTGGATTTGGTCTTTCTTCTGGTTAACTATACTAAAGGTCTATCTATCTTGTTCATCTTTTCAAAGAACCAGTTCTTAGTTTCTTTGATTCTGTGTATTATTTTTTTGTTTCTATTCCTTTGTTTTCTGCTCTGATTTTTAATATTTTTTTCCCATCACATAATGCTCTCCAAAGCTATGAGTGCTACCCTTCAGGAAAAGTGGCTTCCAGGGCATTTTCAGCTCTATTGCTCCAAATCCTGTGTCAGAAACATGTCCTGTCTTCAGCAGTAGGGTCTTACTTTCAATATTAGGAGGAAATCACAGGCTTTGGCTATACACCTGGACTCATATAGATATACTGTATGTGTAATTTTTCAGTAGATTTTGGACTAATATGATTCCCTATGGTTTTTATATTAGCTAGGTTTTTATATTAGATATTATTTATCTCACTTCTTTCGCTGTCTAACCTTCCCTCCATGCCCTCCCCAGTTAAAGTATGCCCATTTCTATTTTGATAAGACCTGTCTCTTATGGTCCCCCCTCTCTTGCATGCTTTCTCTTTTACCCCTATAGTTCCTTGTATAATGCTCTTTCACCCTCTCCCATTTAAATACCCCCATTTTACCCTTAGTAACACCTGTCTCCTACTGTTTTTCTCTTTCAAATTACTTTTTCCCTTTACCTCCCTGGTTACTTGTATTTTCCAAACTCCTGCAGTTCAGTCAGTATCTATACTTACATGTAAAGATTTGGTGCTAGGATCCACAAATGAGGGAGAACATGCATTGTTTGTTTTTTTGAGTCTGTGTTACTTCATTTGGTAAAACAGTTTCTAGTTCCATCCATTTACCTGAAAATTTCATGATTTCATCTTTCTTTACTGGTGAGTAGAACTCTATTGTGTTAATGTACCATATTTTCATTATCCACTCCTCAGCTGAGAGGCACAAACATGTCAGTTGAGCAGCGATAAACATGGGTGTGTAAGTATCTCTGCAGTAGGATGATTCCTTTATATATATCAAGGAGTATAACCAGATCATAGGGGAGGTTCAGTTTTTATTTTTTGAGAGTTCTCCACACTGATTTCCATATGGCCTGCATGAGTTTGCTATCCCACCAGCAGTGATTGAGCATTGCCTTTTTCCAACATCCTCTCCAGGTTTGGTATCATTGTTCTCTTGATCATAGTCAGTCTGACTCGGGTAAGCTGAAATATTAAAGTGGTTTTAATTTACATTTTCCTAATTACTATAGCTGTTGAACACTTAAGATGTTTCTTCTCCATCTTTATTCCTTCTTTTAAGAACTCTGTTCAAAACCATAGCCCATCTTTTAATTGTGTCATTTGTTTTCTTGATTATTTGATTTTGAGTTTTAAATGTTCTGTATGTTAATCCTCTGTCAGATGTGTTGCTAGCGAAGATTTTCTCCCATTATTTGGGTTTTCTCTTCATGTCTTTGGTTGTTTCTTTTACTGTACAGAAGCTTTTTAGTTCATTGACGTCCCACTTGTTGACTGGTTCCAGGAACTCTTACTTCTTTCTTGATTTCTTCATTGGCCTATTCATCATACATGAATGTACTGTTTAATCTCCAAGTTTCTGTAGTTACTAAAGCTTCTTCTTTTCATTGATTAGATTTTACTTCAATTATGTAGGAAACCAGGATGCCAGGCCCAGGGTGAGGTGAGCCTAAAACTTATAGGTCCAGGCTGCATTCTCTGCTAAAGGGAGGGACACTGAACACAGTGTCTCTCATAATCCCTGCCTAGCAGAACACTGCTAGACTGGCAGGAGGAAGAAGCCTGGTCATAAAAGGGTAGGCTCCCTGCTCTGTGGGAAAGCATTTGGTCAACAACCCTTAGCTCATCTCCTTGTCCTGAACAAATAACTCAGCTATCCCTGGCTAAGAGATTAGGCCAGGTTAAAGGTTTACTCCTGAGCTAAAAGCTAAAAGTTCACCATGGTTTTAGCTATAAGAAAGAAAACATTGTGGCTGATAAATTACTGGATGGGCATTGATAACCTTGAGTAAAAGTTTAAGAATCCTTCTGGTGCCAACTAACAGACTAAATATCCTGTTTCTTTGTACCCTAAGTCTTTGTATGTGACTGCCATATTCCACGTGACTGCTAGTTCCTTGGGATGTATAAAAACCATCTGAATTTTAAAATAAATAATCCTGTTGGGAAGACACAGGTCCCAGAGTTTATGACTCTGTCGCCAATCAGACCCTCTGCCCCCAAACCAGTAGGTACCCCACTAAGCAAAGCAAACATGAGTCCCGACACAATTACATTTTGGTAAAATGCATCTCTAAGTTACTTGTTGACAGTGAAGAGATTTTAATTAAAGGAGGAATATTCTACACAATGAAAGGAATTTCTTCACATTCTCATCT